CTATGATGACTGTAACCAATCTGCATCGTACCTGTTTCTTGTGATATTGACTGAAATAAATCTGTAGCTTACCTGTCTCCTATGATGACTGTAACCAATCTGCATCGTACCTGTTTCTCGTGATATTGACTGAAATAAATCTGTAGCTTACCTGTCTCCTATGATGGCTGTAACCAATCTGTAGCGTACCTGTTTCCTGTGATGACTGAAACCAATCTGCATCGCACCTGTTTCTTGTGATATTGGCTGAAATAAATCTGTTGCTTACCTGTCTCCTATGATGACTGAAACCAATCTGTAGCTTACCTGTTTCATGTTTGGTCCTTTTTTCCCCGAAAATGACAAATGCTGCCTATAGCTCCTGAAACTTTCACATTTCGCCATTGCTAAATATTCCCAAGATGATTCACAAGTATTTTTATTGAACATTATTTTTTTTATTTTACACAGTGAGTAATGACGGGATGGTATTGTAGAATACCTCTCCCAGATGGGGATGGTGCACGAAACATGGTAACTGGTAAAAGCGATTGTATTTGCTGCGAATACAATTCTCAATTATGTACAAATCATGAATGACACAAAATTTTTCGATATGCATAACCACACACACGATGTTAGAGTCATTTGTAACTTTTTCTGCTCCTATTAAATCGAAAATCTGTTCTCCTTCACTGACATTCAAACAACGACATAAAACCAAGAACAAAGATGCCCACATCGAAAAGAATTGCGAAATAGAAATACATCAACACCAAAACTGCAAATGCATTTTACAGGATGCATGATTTGCTAAACATGGAATAATTCTGTAAATATGCACCTATTTCTCCCATGCTTACAGCAAACTACTCTGAAGATTGTTCTTGTTTTGAATTAGACTTTGATTAAATTTTTGCGAACAATTACTTCCTTTAATGTTCAAGTCACAAGAAATTTACGATACACACATAATGTTATTAACATCAGAAAAATCAGACATCTCACTTAAGCTGCTTTGTTATTTTACAGTGTCACAGCGATTACAATTTGAAGATATGAACAGCTTTATTAGCTCACAAATTTAAATAATGAACACGATTGCCAAAGCTGGCATACATTATTCAAATGTTCTTCACTAAATCAAAACGGTAAATACACAAACTGTTATAATGGAAGGGCTTCATGGAAATAACTGTTGCCAATAGTCAACATCAACTTCTCTCAGTTTCTGTCTCTTGATTGGTTGGTTGGTTGGGTTGCTGTTTAACGCTGCACTCAGCAATATTCCAGCTATATGGCGGCAGTCTGCAAGTAATCGAGTCTGGATCAGACAATCCAGTGATCAACAACATAAGCATCAATCTACGCAACCAAGTCAGCCAGTCTGACTGTCCAATCCTGTTAATCGTCTCGTATGACAAGCATGGGTTGCTAAAGACCAATTCCAACCCAGATCTTCACGGGTCTTCTGCCTCTTAGTTTGCTGTATGGCGGAGTTGTCTGACCTTCACTTTTTAATGTGACATTGACTGAAACAAATGTTTCTTACTATTTCCTATGATGACTGTAACCAATCTGCATCGCACCTGTTTCTTGTGATATTGACTGAAATAAATCTGTAGCTTATCTGTCTCCTTAATATGACGACTGTAACCAATCTGCATCGTACCTGTTTCTTGTGATATTGACTGAAATAAATCTGTAGCTTATCTGTCTCCTTAATATGACGACTGTAACCAATCTGCATCGTACCTGTTTCTTGTGATATTGACTGAAATAAATCTGTAGCTTATCTGTCTCCTTAATATGACGACTGTAACCAATCTGCATCGCACCTGTTTCTTGTGATATTGACTGAAATAAATCTGTAGCTTATCTGTCTCCTTAATATGACGACTGTAACCAATCTGCATTGTACCTGTTTCTTGTGATATTGACTGAAATAAATCTGTAGCTTATCTGTCTCCTTAATATGACGACTGTAACCAATCTGCATCGCACCTGTTTCTTGTGATATTGACTGAAATAAATCTGTAGCTTACCTGTCTCCTTAATATGATGACTGTAACCAATCTGTAGCATACCTGTTTCTTGTGATACTGACGGAAATAAATCTGTAGCTTACCTGTCTCCTTAATATGATGACTGTAACCAATCTGCATCATACCTGTTTCTTGTGATATTGACTGAAATAAATCTGTAGCTTACCTGTCTCCTTAATATGATGACTGTAACCAATCTGCATCGCACCTGTTTCTTGTGATATTGACTGAAATAAATCTGTAGCTTACCTGTCTCCTATGATGACTGTAACCAATCTGCATCGCACCTGTTTCTTGTGATACTGACGGAAATAAATCTGTAGCTTACCTGTCTCCTATGATGACTGTAACCAATCTGTAGCGTACCTGTTTCTTGTGATATTGACTGAAATAAATCTGTAGCTTACCTGTCTCCTATGATGACTGTAACCAATCTGCATCGTACCTGTTTCTTGTGATATTGACTGAAATAAATCTGTAGCTTACCTGTCTCCTATGATGACTGTAACCAATCTGCATCGCACCTGTTTCTTGTGATATTGACTGAAATAAATCTGTAGCTTATCTGTCTCATACTTTGTAACCAATCTGCATCGTCCTGTTTCTTGTGATATTGACTGAAATAAATCTGTAGCTTATCTGTCTCCTTAATATGACTGTAACCAATCTGCATCGCACCTGTTTCTTGTGATATTGACTGAAATAAATCTGTAGCTTACCTGTTCCTATGATGACTTTAACCAATCTGCATCGATGTTTCTTTGTGATACTAGACTGAAATAAATCTGTAGCTTACCTGTCTCCTATGATGACTGTAACCAATCTGTAGCGCACCTGTTTCTTGTGATATTGACTGAAATAAATCTGTAGCTTACCTGTCTCCTATGATGACTGTAACCAATCTGCATCGTACCTGTTTCTTGTGATACTGACTGAAATAAATCTGTAGCTTACCTGTCTCCTATGATGGCTGTAACCAATCTGCATCGTACCTGTTTCTTGTGATATTGACTGAAATAAATCTGTAGCTTATCTGTCTCCTTAATATGACGACTGTAACCAATCTGCATCGTACCTGTTTCTTGTGATATTGACTGAAATAAATCTGTAGCTTATCTGTCTCCTTAATATGACGGCTGTAACCAATCTGTAGCGTACCTGTTTCCTGTGATGACTGAAACCAATCTGTAGCTTACCTGTTTCATGTAATATTGACCTTCTACAAATCTGCATCTCATTTAGTTTTCAATGTTTTAGGCAATAATGACTGAATATATCCTGTGGTATACCTGTTTCTCTCACTTGGTTAGGTGGAACTGTGGAATCCTTCATCTTTCTTACAAATACTGAAACAAACCTTTAGCTCACATAGCTCATATAATACAGTTCTTTTGTAAACAATATCTGTTTACTTCAGTGTTTCACACAGAGGCCCCACACGATGGTTTATGGAAAACTCAAATTTTGAAAATCACACAATAATGCAAAATGAATTTATCATTTAAATATCTCACCCAAATCACAATACCATATGTTGTTTTTCTCATCTTCAAGAAAATGTAATCATAGGCGGACCCAGAGGGGTATGCAGGGGTGCGCAGCCCCCCTTTTGTCCTGAAAGTTTATTAAATGACCATTGAAATTGCACGCGTGCGGAGGCTGTTGGGTAGTCTAGCACGCAGTGTTGGCTACACACTCACACACATGCACACACACACCTATCTGAACTGGTAATCAGGAATGGAATTATCTGCCCCTGGTAATCAGGAATAGAATTATTGTGGTAGTTCTAATTATAAGTTGGAGTCAACCATCCTTCATTTCACATACCACACACATAAAGGGAAAATGGAGACATGACCACTAGGCTTTCCCTAGTTAAGTATACACAATATTTGATATACTTCTTCGGGGTTACAGCTCTTTGCAATTCTTAATGCTGTCAGGAACAAGATTTAGACGTTTGCACTCAATTTGATTACGGGTTAGAAAGAAAACAACCAACTCAAAACTCTATTACCATTTATCATTCCCTTGTGACTTAAACTGAATGGTTTGTACTCTGTTTCTTACATTTAAAACTCCATAAAAAAATAACAAATATTTAAGTCAGTTCTAAATGAAATGCAGTATCCTTATCCCTGTTCAACGTACAAAACCACATTCAAGTCAAATAAAGTACGGACGTTATTACACGCCCCCTACAATGCTAGCAAGTTTCCAAACTGGGTAGAAAATGCTTCAGTTGTCCTATTAGCTAAGTTTACTTTAGTAAGCATGAATCACATTAGCAGCGTGAAATGTTTTTGCCATATGGATGGTCGAATCCCTGGTGACTTAGTCTGTGTACGGTGCATCAATTCCTTCAGTAAAACACATCTTCCTGATTACTTGCTCTGATTGAACTATGGTAATTGTTTGAATGTTTATGGATTTTTTCCTTTCGAACTAAAAGGCTGAATGAGGGTCTTGGTGGATGTCAGAAGTTGTAGACAGTATCATTCTGGGGCTTTGTTAGTAGTTATTTTTTCAGCTTTGTAAGGATGTAGAGAACCAGTTTTACAATATCACATTTAGTCGTTAAATTTGTAAGATGTCTTTAGCAGGATCATATTTGTTGCATGATTTCGATTTTAAGCTAAGTTGTTCATATGGGCCTTTCACAATATTCTTTAACTGAAAAAAAGACACATCTTAGGGATTATCATGATAGATCGCAGTCTGCTGTCCGACGTTATTTCTTTAATGCAGATAAGGACAAACTTTATGGATGAACAATGTCTTTATTTGGATGATGTTTCGATACAGACTCTTGTATCGTTGTCAATCAAGCGGAGATGGTCCCTTACGCTTACAGTGGTATATTGGAGTTGTTTTTCGCTGAGCAGTACACCATCATCAGGACCCTCCTGAATGGGTGATGTGACTGATAGCTTTGACCATGAGGTGAGGTGAGGTGAGGTGAGGTGAGGTGAGGTGATGTGATGGGCATACATATGTGTCTGTGGCTGCTTTTTGCAGTCTAGACTTACGTTGGTTTTATCATTCTCATCAGTCGAGATACCATCCCAGGGTTTAACATGGAGTCCTCACGTTTTATACTCTTCATGCAGAACACCAGGCAGGGTAACAATAAGTACCATCTTTTAATGTCCTTTGGTAAGACACGACCTGGGCATGGAACCATCAAGTTTTCACACTCTAGTTCCATCCTTAACACCACAGAGGCTGTCAGAAACGGGGGTGGGTGGGTGAGTGAGTGAGTGAGTGAGTGAGTGAGTGAGTGGGTGGGTGGGTGAGTGAGTGAGTGAGTGAGTGAGTGAGTGAGTGAGTGAGTGAGTGAGTGAGTGAGTGAGTGAGTGAGTGAGTGAGTGAGTGAGTGAGTGAGTGAGTGAGTGAGTGAGTGAGTGAGTGAGTGAGTGAGTGAGTGAGTGAGTGTGTATATTTTCAGCAATATTCCAGGGACACCAGAAATGGACTTCACACATTGCTCATTGTGGTGAACTAAACCCATATCTTCAGCATGACGAGAGAATACTTTCACCGCTAGGTTAACCCACTGCCTCGAATAAACTTCTGAGCATCCACATGGTGTGGCTTTGTTGCTGCAATATGATCATTTATCATCTACATTACATTCAGAAGTTATATTAGCAGTAACAAGGGAGTGAGTTAACTCTGTTTAGGTGTCAGTACACAATATTCCGGCAGAATGAAAACGTTTGGAGCAGACTGACCAGTGACCAACAGCATGACACGTGAACCTCAATATCATTGTATGATCATCCAGTCAGAGTGAGTGAGTGAGCCTGGTTTTGTGCCACTTTCTTAAACAATACTGCATAGGTCAGGGGAGCCTAAGCAAGGTGCTTTATATTTTGTACCCATGCAAAGATTCAAACTTGGAACTTTTGGCGTAAGCAGCATTTGAAATACCTGCCTGCTAGACTGCCTGGGACAGGTTATTTTCAACACAGACTGACAGATTCTCAAATTCACCTGCCCAATGGTTGGGTTAAAATGTAGACATGTATATACAGTCAACCCTCGCAATAACGCTCTTGCGATCCCGCAGATTCGGTTAAACCGCGGGGTAATCCGTGGCTCCCATAAAAAAAGTTGCCCACACATATCCACGTCATCGAAAATAGCACATCAACAAATCCGCTCTTGAGCTCTGGTTAATCACGTTGTAAAATTCAGTGCGGATTGCAATTAACAGTGTTTATCATACATATCGATGCTTTTTCAGATGCTTAAAACATGCAGGTTTTTTTCAATAATAATAGATGAACAGCGAAACATCGTAATAACTTTATCATAAAGACATGTCGATCATCAGCCGAGTACTTACAACGTTTGCTATGACGCAACACACCGCGTAATTGCGCGGGTAAACACCGCCATCCGAGAATGTTACGATGTCAGAAAACACATTTTATTTGATTAAATTCAATCCCATTTTCATTCATTAAAACTGTTTACAATAACAACAGAGAAACCGTGAGTGAAATGGCATTACCTCATTCCATACAACACCCGCTTACCACATTCGTGAGGGTCCGTTTTTCGCGCCTTAGTAACCGTGATAGCACCAATTTCACAATTTTCTCAGCAATCACAGATTACAGCCTTGTCATCCATGGACCCCAAGACCCGCGTTATGGTGAGGGATGCCTGTATTAGTATTTTTTGTGGGCAGGTAAGTTTTCATCAGGGCTGACAAGTTTTACATCTAACCAGCCCTGTGGTCTGGCTGAAATGTTTGGGAGTTCCATACCCTGACATAAGCACAGCTTTAACCACTCAACTACTACCTTGCAAGTTAAGTTTGACCCACAGTATGTGTAGCATCAGCTTAATCAGTGTCAATCACATCATTATGATCATCAATCACATCGTCACAGACTCATGCCAAGTTACTAATCAAGTTTTCATTATTTATTTTATAATCATTATTTTATGCTTTTTCTTATCCTAAGAAATCTCCATTCCAATCTCACCCCATTGTAACTCTGTGGTACTTTGATGAATAAATACAGTGAAATATTTCCATTTTTCAGAACCTTGACACAAAAAACGTCACATCACCATTGCAGGAACCTCTTGAGACAAAGATAAGGATGAAGCAGGACCCCATATCACATCTGCAGACTCACATCAAAGAAACCTGGTACATCAAATATTGCACGGTCAGCAGAATCAGCCCAAGACCTTCAGGAGCTGAAAAATACATGGACAATTGTTACACAGCTTTCCTTGTCACCAGTCACAGCCTCCTCAAACAATCACCAGTGAGTTGGGTTTTACACTGCCTTTAGCAATATTCCAGCAATATCAAGGCTAAGGACACCAGAAAATGTGCTTCATACATTGTACCCATGTGGAGAATTGAACCCGTGTCTTCGGCGTGACTAGCCTCTAACAAGTAACAGAACAAAGTATGAGCTGTTTTCACTGAAGCAATAGGACCCGTGAAGATCCGGGTTAGAGTTGATATTCTACAATTTTAACAGATGTAAGAGGTGACAAACGGGATGGGGTGGTCAGGCTCGCTGACTTGGTTGACACATGTCATCGTATCCCAATTACGTAGATCGATGCTCATGCTGTTGAACACTGGATTGTCTGGTCCAGACTCGATTATTTACAGACCGCCACCACATAGCTGGAATATTGCCGAGTGCGGCATAAAACTGAACTCACTCACTCACTGAAGCAATAGATAGATGCATACTTAAGGTGTGAATAGTCACGTTTGCACAAACAGTTCTAGAGCAATACAGTTACAGTTACACTTACCTGTTTACATCTCAAAGAACATTTGGGGGTCATTATGTCCCTTTCAATTTTTAACGATAGAACATCACATGCAACTTGCAGTGAAGTTGGACAAAGTACTGTGACTATGTGTCCCAGTCCACCCAGCTGTGAATGGGTACCTCGTAAGGATGGGAAAGCCACACTAACTCGGTGCGCCTTGTGGCAGCAAGAGTTGTATGCTCCCCAGAATGTTCAGATTGATAAACCATCACAACACATGTAGACAATACCAATGACATCTGATGAAAACACCAGTTCTACCTATGGATGTTTGGAGTGTTTCCAGGCCAACCACACATGTATTGGTTCCTTATCACCGTATCACATGGCTGGCAAAATACAACATCGGGTGACGTGAGGTGAAATTGGGTTTTACCTCGTGCTTGAGAATATTTTGCTCATATGACGACGTGCATACGTGTGTATGTGTATGTGCGGCTGCTTGTACTAGCCCAGACTAAAGCTGGTTTTATAGTGCTAGCTCACTGAGATACAATGCCGCAGTGAAGCATGAATACCCCACTCAGACACATTATACTGACTCCGAGCCGACCAGTCCTTGTTGTACCCATTAATGCCGAGCGCCAGGCAGGGACCAACAAGTACCATATTTTAACGTCTTTTTGGTTTGACCCGGTCGGGGATCGAACCCGCGACCTTCCGCTCTCCGGGCGGAGACTCTAACCACTACACCACGGAGGCGGTCATACAACATCAGAATCAATGGGAGTTAACAATTGTGTATCTTTCAATACAACTGAATTCTTGTAAAAATGAAATCGTTCAAGAAAATTTGAGTATTTCAAAACTTTGAAATAGTCTATTTTGTAAATTCTTATCCACATTTGATTTCCCAACAGTGCAAAAATTTGGTATCACTTTTTTTCAGTTCACAAAGACAGCCTACAAACTGTATTGGTTGTTTTGCTTCGGTGACAAGATGCTATTGTTTTCCAATACAAGAAAAACCTAATGGACAATAATAATAAATATGATACCAAAACACAGATGACATGTCTGAACGTGGAATTTGATGTAATACCTAACTATCACAGTCGAACCGCAACAGCAAGTCCAGATGGAGTCACCAAATTCATGCTCCTATTCACAAAGCCATTAATCAACTTGTCAAGACACGCCTCCATATCAAATTTATCTTGATCATCACAAAGTTATCTCCCCTTTTGGGAATCAAACCATTATATTACTAGATTCCCGGCCAGGCGTTTCCCATAATGTGAGTCACTTTGTTGGACGAATATGACTCTCTGTGGTAAAAAGGCTCCCAGGGTGCGCAAGTCCATATTATGAAACTTAAAAGGTGTCAATACCAAAATTTTGTCGAGTTACAAATCAACATCTTTTGGGAATTGCAAAAGCTAAACTTCAGCCTTTGTATTTCTTCATTAAAACATGATCTCACACTGAGAATATTGCAATTTTTTATCACCAGTGTCATGATTGGATATGAAATTTAAATCAGAACACAAGACAAAGAATCAGGGCAATTACTGATCCAAATACAAAACACACTGAATCAACACATTGTAAATGTTTCAGACTGTTTTATAACCTGTCAAACTGCTTCAAAAGATTAAATATAATTTGTATAATTTAATTACAAATATATACTGAAATTAGGAACAGCAACACAATTATCATCCTGTCTTAAAGACAGTGTCTATTTTGAGACAAATGTCAAAGGTTCGACACTAAAAGACATTAAAAGATGGTACTTGTTGGTACCTTGCCTGGTGCTCGGCACTGAGGAGATGAAATGGTGAAATGGTATCTCATAGGGCTTAGTGAATAAAAGAATACCAGCAACAGCCCCGACAAGTCAGTGTGAGAGTAAGTGTGAGAGTGAGTGAGTGAGTGAGTGAGTGAGTGAGTGTGGTTTTACGCCCCTTTTAGCAATATTCCAACAATATCATGGCAGGAACACCAGCTATGGGCTTCACACATTGTACCCATATGGGCAATAAAACCTAGTCTTCATCGTAATAAGTGGACGCTTTAACCATTAGGCTACCACCTCACCCCACAGACAGTAAGACACAAAGACACACAGACACACAGACTGCATGCAGTGTACATATATTATATTGCATGTTCAGCATTTAAAACAGTTTGATGAGGTTTGCTGCACACATAGCAATGTTCATAGACATTTTTCTTTAAAATATTTCAAAATCATTAGCCTTAATTAAATGATTTTGGTGATATCTTTGTTTCTTTGTTAAAATTACCTTCATGGCCCAGGTGTGTAAAGGACAAACTATATTTTTCTAACTTCAGAGTTTTTAACTTAATCTGTCAAACTCTTGTCTTATAACTTGCACATAAGTGAATGAGTGTGGTTTTAAGCCGCTTTTAGCAATATACCAGCAACATCACAGCGGGGGACACCAGAAATGGGCTTCACACATTGTACCCATGTGGGGAATCGAACCTGGGTCTTCAGTGTGACGAGCGAGCACTTTAACCACAAGGCTACCCCACCGCCCCCCATATAATCTTGTATATTTGGAATATTGCTGAGCTCAGCATTAAACAACAACTGTCCCATTGACTCGGACTCAAATCCACCGGCGATTTTCCTTCGTATGTCTCCAACATATTTTTCTGTTTTGCTTTGTTTGTTGTTTAACACTGTGATCAACAATCTCCCAGCTATATAATGGCGGCCTTTAAATAATCAAGTTTCCACCAGACAAACAAGATTATATGCATGTTATGAGACAAGAGATTGGCAGATAAAGTCGATTAATGGACAGATCCAGAACAAAAAGTGAAGAGGTAAATGGAACAATTTGCATCAGGTTATGTTGTATCAGAGAAAACGCAGGGGATAAAATTACAACTGCCCCAAGCCTTTGTACCATGATAATATGGGTCAGGCATATTAATTCATCGCAGCCAATTGACAGTGGACCAGCCATTGGTGTATTCATTGGGAAATATACAGAAAATAATATTTTAAATTCCTTGGTTAAAAAGTAGCATACCAACATACAAATTTATGCTTTTTCTTTATGCCTGCAGGTTTTACATTTTTGTGGTAAACAAACATAATACTTTGAAATACACAATGCCATTTTAGAAAGTGGTCAAATGTAACATATGATCATATGTTATATTTGGAATTACACTTTCTTAGTAAAATACAGATTCTAGTACATTTTGGGTTGAGTCCCATCTGGGATT